CAATACTTGCGCCAGTATCTTTTTGTTGGTTCTGTCAGGGAACAAGGATTGACTCGTTCTAAGTTCATTTCTTTCATTCAAGGAAAGTGAAAGGATTTACAGCAAGCGTGGTGGAAACGTCAGTTCGGTGTGGGGGTTTTGGCAACTTTAGCTTTAGTTGAGAAATGTTGAAAAGGTTTTACCTCATTAAGGATTAATAGATGCTTCTGATAAATTACGGAAAATGCTCTGTGATTTGAGTTATCCAAGACTAGGTAGGTGTTGTCAGTCTGTTCTCCGTAGGACTTGCACCCTCCCGAAGGGCAGGTGCTTTCACAGGACCTGCTGGGACGCCGTCCCGGGCGTCTCCGTGAGACCGGTGGTAGTGGGCACAAAACCGAACCAGAGCCCTGGCCTGCAGCCCTGCCAAAACAGACTTGTGCTGCTGGTTGTATTAAAAAGAAAGTAGGCCAGAAATCAGAGTTTATTCCCTTCTCTGCATTTCTTTGTAGAAAGCAGAAGAGCGGCTCACCGTGTGTCTAGATGCAGAGTGTGCGTATGTGATGTCTGTATGGCTTGAATTTATGTTCAATAGCTTCACTGGAGCCAGAGCATCGATCAAGGATGACAAAGCAAGAGCAACCTCATCCTCCACTTCAGTGAAAACTAAGACGTGATGCTCCTTCCTTGCTCCTTGGTGATAATGGAAAGGGGAAATAATTTGAATAGATGCCTTTAAAACAGATCCTGTTGCTGTGGGTGTAATTTGTGGTACAGAGCAGCCTAATACTCCAGTCTTTGAGTTATAATACAACATCGGAAGGGGCACTGTCCCACCACAGAAAGCAGAAGCTTCTTTCAGTGAAGTTTAAAATGAGGTTTATGCTATAAACAGTTTCTGCACATTGGTCAGGTTCCTGGCACGCAAATGTACGGCCAGAGTGTGCTGGATCGAGCCCAAGGGCTCGGTGTTAATCTCCAAAGCCCTCCCTGGGCTGGCAGCATGTGGTGCTGCAAACAGCCGTCTCCTGGCGGCTTGGTGGCCTCTTGTATCGGCTGTGTTCCTCAAGAGCCATCCAGCCCAGGAGGGAAAGGGCCCCTCTGCAGCGGGGCCAAGGGTCTCATTGCAGGGGGGCAAAGATTCTCAGATCTTTCGGACCTTCTGGAAGTAATTTCCACAGCTGTCAAAGTAAGGAGAAAAAAGGTGATGGCCACAAGGAAGCAACAGAGTGGAAAGGGATCAGTGAAAAAAGAAGTATCTAAGTATACCTGTGCCTTTATAGACTACGCGTCGGGCTGGTCCAACACCTAAGCATCATGCATTTGCTGGCACTTCTTAGGCATGGAATAAGGATAAAGCAGGGGTTTGTACCAAGATTTCTGAATGAAACCCTCCCTGCGTGCACCCATCTGTGCTCCCTCGCGTGCTATGAACCCGGCTGACCTGCGCGCTCTGGCCGGGCTCGTCCCTGCCTGGCTGGGGCCGGGTTCTCGCTGCTGCGGTACCTTTTTGCAGATAAACGCTGTTCGGGGAGCTCAGCTAGCTGCTTGCTAAACAGGCAATTTTGTTCTTCAGGGTTGTTAGTCTAGCACCTTTTCTGCACAGTAAATTCACACAACACAGCATGTAAAAATAAGGGAAGCGGGATTCGCTCAGTGCCTGGTGCCTAACAGCAAATCTTACTCTTACATAAACAAAAAACTTCACGTCTTCTGTTGCATTGACTCTGTGATTCAGCGCTTGGGCTGTGCAGTGTGGTGGGCAGACTTCAGCAACCGAAATCTCCCAATACCATGTCCCCTGCGATGCCCCGGGGCACCCCGGTGCGGGTGCCCTGAGGCAGGGACGGGCAGTGATGTTGGTTTATGGAGCGGTAAATGGTACGTGCCCAGGGGACCCGTGACCAAAGGTGTCCGTGGGTTTGGTTGAGGATTTCATGGTGGCTGGTGGTAGCATGGTGGCTGTGAATTCATCTGCCTCTTCCTCTCCCTGGTGCGTGTTTCCCGCTCGGTTCTTAGGCCATCTCCCAAACCTGTGTGTGCTCCTGCTGCTTGTGTAGCAGCCAGGTTCCCGTCCCCAATTTGCTCTGACGACTCCCTGCCGGTGAGTACGTTTCTTTCATGTTTTCATGCTATGTTCCTGAAGTTTTGGTGGCCATTCACTGCTATTTGCTCAGCTGAGAGAATGAAAGCTCAAACTGGTTACAGCTCCCCCCTGACATTATATTCTTTTTCCTTTATGAATGCCAATTACTTTTATTAACCCTCTCAAAACACATTATTGGCTCCCTGGCAGAGAGATTTGGATATAGCAGAACAAACCTGCTGTAAGAGCAGTGCCTTTCCCACCGTGAATACCAATGACCAATTTGATGGACGCGTCCCTCATCAGCATTTCTTAATATCTGGAAAAAGAAAATGAAGTCATCCACATGCTTCTCAGCCTTTCAGGGACCATGCGAAGAAGTGAATGATGAAAAAGCCCCAACTTACAGCAGACAGACAATAAACCTTAGTGAGTTTAAGAGCTTTAGGAGGCATCTAGCTCAGCTGAGTTGCTGTCTGTGGGTCTAGGGTCTTGCTGCCATGAGCTATGTGTTTTCTCTGCCCCATGAGTAAAGTGAGCACAGAGAGGCTGTAAAACCTCTGGATCCAGGCCAAACCCCAGGACTCCCTGGGAATCTTTCCGTTGCCCTCACTGGGGCTTGGACGAAGGGGTTCAGCCCTGACACAAGCAGGAGCGCGCGTGGGATGGGCGAGACCTTCCAGGGTCTGTTTTTCTGAAATATCTACGTTCTTGCTCGTGAATATCACGAAGGGCAGTAAGCAGCTCCTTGGCTGGGCAACAAGTTGCTACATGAGGATAAGAAGTTGCCTAGAAATTACTTTGTTCCAGAAGAAGCTTTGTAAGAGGGATGGTGCTTCAGAAAAGGTAGGGGCAAAGGGCTTCCCAGGGCGACGGGACGTGCCACTGGTCCGTGTGGGGTGATGAACGTAGACCCACGTCCCCAAACCTCGCTTATCTCAACCCGTGGCATGTCCAAGGTGAGGTCATTTGATGACGATGGCTGAGCTGGGAATGCCTTTGTGCCTGCCAGCTGCTTGGCTTAGATTAATCTGCGTTGCGTGTGTTTGGGTATCCCAACCTGGGGTCAGGCGCCGCAGGGGTCGCACCAACTACTTGCTTTTCTGTTGTTGTCACGTGTAAAGGATCTCCCTAGAAACTAGCTTCTGTTTTCCTGAACAATGAAAACGCAAATTAAGAATGTCAGCTCTGTAACCAAAAATAAGATTTCAAAACCATTTAGCATTTCACAGTGGTTCGGTGACAACTTGAAGAGTTGCAGTTGTCTCTCATGATGAGAGACAGGCAGAGTTCCCCAGCTCATACTCAGATCTGAGCACCAATGAATGCTTTATCCCAAAACTTTATAATATATGTGTTATTTGTAGTGCTTTTCAACTTCAAAGAGCTTGAAAAATATTAATGCAACTTCACAAAAGGCTTCTGTTCTCGGTGCCACGCTACTGATGGGAAACTGGAGACGTGCCGGAGTCTGGCTGGGGGCTGCGGGGGCTCAGCACACCGGGACGGGGTCTGGCCGATGGCAGGGCCATGGGCAACCCCTCGCACCAGCACAAAATTGCTGGGTAATTTCTTGAAATGTTTCAATGTGTCATGATTTCAGATCTCTTCGTAATGATCAGAAAATTTATGTTTTGAATTCTGGTATTCTTTAGAATTGTAGACAGGTAAGTGCGAAGGGAAGGACACTTTGGTTTCCTTTTTTCCTGCTTTTTAAATTATTGGGTGGAAAAACTGCAACTTAAAACAAATACTTTTTCCTACTTGGGGGAAAAATGGGAAAATACTGAGCAGATTCTGAAAAGTGAACTGTCAAAAAAAAAAAAAAAAAAAAAAAAAAAAAAAAAAAAAAAAAAAAACAAACCCAAAAGAAAGGAGACCCACGTCTTGGCGCTGGGGGCCCGTGATGGTAGGGCTCGGCCGGAGGGGCTGGGTGAGTGCATGGGTTGGGGGCCCCCAGGCCCCAGCGCTGCAGGCGGCCGCAGCAGAGCAGTGCGGGGCTCCGCGACGCAGCCAGCCTCCGCGGCAGCTCCAGCAGCGAGGCCTCGGGCGTACATTTCTTCAAGCATGCATAAACAGCGATGCGCTTTTGTAGTATTTTCAGGGCTGACTCCCCTGGGAATTTCAGTCTAAGTCCTTTCCTTCTTGGCAGCTACCTTGAAGGATTTTTCCTAAAATGTAGTTTTATATACGTACGCAGTGAGCAAAGCACGTATTCTTAAAAAGCCCATTCACGAGGAACAAATGAGAGTACAGTAAATACCATCCAGAATTATACTGTCATTCTGGACCTAGCAGAATTGGATGGGCCAAATGATTCATCCTTCAAAATCATTTTCCAGAAAATCATGCTACTGGAAGATTATGCTTTTTATTAAAGGAAAATATCACTCTAAATGTTCAGTACTTCTTTGCTTTGCCATCAAAGTTTAAGCAGAACAAAAACTGTATCTTGTGGGTTTCTTGTGTGTAATTCAAAAGAATGGAACTGCAGGGTGTAAATTTGGAGGAGACCCCCCATCATTTAACAGTTTAGTAGAATAGCATAAGGATCTCCAACTTACTCCAGAGTGGTGAGCTAACCCTTCTTAGGGAGGTAGAGGAGTACGGCATGAACGGGGAAACAAACTCCCCATGGAGCCACAGTTTCTCACTGTCTCTCTCTGACCAACTGATGCGTAACAGCCTGACGTCCCTCACGGATCCACACCCAACTACACCAAACATCTTCTCCCTAAGAAAGCTGTCTTCTCTGTGGCACGAGCTGTCTCACACACGGGTTCTCCCACAACTGCATCAGCACAGGGCATCTCCAAACTGGCACAGAGCAGCGCCATTCACCCACGACCCATGCTGGTGCTGAATGCTCTTTCTGCTTTCTAAAAAAAAAAAAAAAAAAAGAGGAAAAAAAAAAAAGAAAAAAAGCAATAATTACAATTGAACATGCCTTGGTTCAGTAATGACTTAGTTAACAGAGTGCATGTTCTATAGTGAGACCCAGACGTTTTAAAAAATACAAATCTTTTCAGAACATTTTCTGGTTTTTTTTTTCACGGGTGCTGGGAACATCAGTGCTCCGGTTCTGCATCCATGCAGGTCTCCCAGGGGTTCTGGGGGAAGCGAGGCAGCGCGATCAGGAGGAGGGTGATGCCGCAGATGAAGAGCAGGACGAAGGAGGCGCAGGCACAGGCGAAGGACCAGGAGTAGCTGTACTCAATCCAGACTGTCTCCTTGCTGTCGATCATCCTCTTCACGGATTGTCTCATGACTTCAACAGAGATGATGATGCAGAGACCTGAAGGAAGATAGGAGCAGTGGGTTGAATAACCAGCTGTCAATTTTTCATTCGTGATTAACCACCTCATCTGTCTTTTTGCATATAGGAATCGCAGTGAGATTCACAGGTGAGTCATTGACTGTTTGAAGGAACCAACGCTTGCGAGTGCTTAGAGCTCTGCTAAACCAAGGCTGTCCAAGTCAGCCGGTGACTTGAGTGTGATCTTTTAGGCAGGCTTGGATGGGAAACTCAAAGTGGAGGAGGAATAATTGCATTCCTTAGGGAGCTTTTCCAAAGGTTGAATAAGCATTTTATTGAGGTGACAATTAGCACCTCTGTCTTTCAGTCGTTGTGGCATGTCAAGGTACTACTAGCTCATATAAAAATGCAGTCTTTGTGGTTTTGGGAGACAGCTGTGCATTTTGGGCCTGGATCAGCTGTTTCTTGGTGTGAGTCTTAACAAATGAGATGATAGAATAGTGTATATCCCCGGTTTAGACTGGGGCTAGAACTGAATATGTTAGAAATTCCCCTTTTAAAAGTAGTTGGAGAAAACACAGACAAGCTGCTGGGTAATGCTTGCTGAGCAGGACGTTTTCAGAGCTCGTCAGCTGGAGCACCACATAGGGACTGTAGTCTGACTGTGGCTAGGAAGAAAATGCCACTTTCAGGGCATTTTTAGAAGTATCTCCATCCTCCCAGGATCTGTCTAAGTTTCTCTGCATTGTCCTGTGAACTGAGTGCAAGTATGTGAGCACCGAGCCTCCTACCTGCGAAGGTGTAGAACATGGATGCTGGCTTCAGCAGGTAGTCCTTTTTCTTCCTGAAGGATAAGAGGACGCAGATTGTTCCGATGATTGCAAAGCCAACGCTGAAGATGGCAATGGCTGCAGCTGAAATGCTGTATTCTGCCAAAGCAAAAGAAACACCAAAAAATGCAAACGTCTGCAAATTTTGAGCATGCTCCCATCAGCTGGTGTGACTTTGCAGTAGGTCACTCTGAGAAATACGTATCCTCCCACTGCTGCGGAGAGGTGGCTCTGGTGGATTGAATATTTTCCTGAAATAAAAGCAGGGGCAAGTATTGGCCATGTATCTTTTGAATGCAAAGGGCATAAAACCAGAGCAGGAGGGGGAATCACCTACTGAAAGAGCAAATGGCGCCTGTATGGGTCTGATGAAGCTCCGGGCTGCAGTCGTTTTAGCTCTGCTGCAGAGATGGTATTGTTGAACCCTTACTGGGCTCCACACTCTCATTTCTTCCATCACTCCACGCTCTGCTCTCAGAGTAAATAGACAGCTCTATGCTATTTTTATGGCAGGGCTGTATTGCAGAGCCCCGACGAGGTCCCCGTGCATGGCGCCGATGTTGTAGCGGTGCAGCGGTGCAGACAGGCAGCTGTATGCTCCATAGGGCTCAAAAGCCGAGCAGGCAAAGCAGGCAGGAGGCCAGAGGTGAAGGGTTTGCATAGCATCTCTTTTTTTTTTGTTTTTTTTTTCCCCTTTAAGACAATGATTTCCAGCTCTGTGAAAACCCAGCTTCTTCAGGGCATGGGATTAAACCCTCCGTAAAATGTCCTGGTTTTTGCTAAGCCAGCTAAGATGTGCGCTGGACGCCTCCCCCAGCCGAAGCACAGTTCAGTGCCTGAATGGAGGGGAAGAATTGCTAATTGAATAATTCAGGCCTTCATTTACATATTGCATTCGTTTTCAGATTAGTTTAATATTTAACACATGTAGCCATGCGTGAACATCACAGTGCCTGATGATATTTGCCTTTCGAGCCATTAAAAAAAAATATCTCCCAGGCAAAATCACGAAGAATGCTTTTGCCTGTTACTAATTAGCTCCCATCAAAATGTAGCTCTTTCTGCGGAAGGGAACAGCAGATCGCTCTTTGTTCTCATTGCTTTTCATACCACTTTTTTATTATAATTTCCTTAATGTTTCTCTTTACTGTGTGCTAGAACTGCCTGAAAGAGTTTGTTTCGATGTAAAATCTTTTGCTGCGGCTTAAGCTTTTTCTTTTACTTCGAAGAAAAGACGTTCTTCCTGATTATGCTCTGAAATGACTAAGGCGGCAGTGGGTACGTTTTTAACATCAGATGGCTGGAACTGATAGTGTATAAATGAGCGAAAGCAGGTAGCGCAGATACGTGCTCTTCTATCCACTTAAAATTCCCAGTCTTTCCTGTCTTGGGAAACTGCTTTTTTAGAAAAGCTGTGTGCGGGGTTTTCCGCCATTATAATTTCCACTGGAAGCAAAGCAGATTGTTTAATATGTGTAATGTAATCATCAGCTCATTTACTCCACAGCAAAATACGTCGTGTGGCAAACTAGAAAGGAATTTGTCCTTAATGAGAGGGCGAGAAAGAGAGAGGAGCACATTAGATGAGTGCTAAAAATACTTGGCTTTATCAGGGACTTATTAGAAATGTGAAATTTGTCTGTGAAAGACTGTTTTCAAAATCTGTGCTCTGTAAACACTGACTGTGCGTGTCTTTGTGGGATCGCTGGTCCTTCCTTCCATCGATGGCTCTGGTTTTCACATAATTTTCATATAAAATCAAGATGAAGCATAAAATTCCTAATGGTCTTCACAGAGTCTCTGTACTTCTTTTCAGGGTCAAGACTCTGCTTGGGGTATGATTTATTCATTTAGATTTTATTAATGTCTTCTTCCTTCGATGGCAAAGGCTCAGAGTGTCGCAGATAGTGCCAATGTTGTAATGTAATTTTTATGCTGAAAAGACTTTTTCCAGTTTTCATGGGTATTGACGTTGTTATATATTTGTGGGACAACTTCGAGTAAAATCACACTGAGGAGCGTGACCATATATACAAATTATTCTTCCCAGGAAGCTGGCATGTGACCTTGTTCAGAGCACGTTTTTTACATTTTTCCCAGCTGGTGGTATCTGATAGAAATTCTTCTACTGCTTTCAGTGGAACCAGGATTGAACCCTCATTTTGGGGACCCCTTTACCTTAGATCTTGTGTGCACCTCAGTTAGGAAAATATTTTTCGGGATCATTCTTACCTTTCTGGGTGGTTACTTCAAATATCTCTGAGCTCTGTCCTGGTGTGAAGTGCTTGAAGTAGGAGCAGTTGTGTTCTGAAAGAGAAAAGGAAATTTAGCGTGCTTGGAAGTCTCTGATAAAATGTAGAAAAGCTGAATTTGCTTTTTATTGATGTATCAAACTTGCAATGTTTTTAAGGTTCCCTACCCTTGGTAGCACAAAGAAATTGGAGTTGGATTTGTTTTCTTTGGGAGCAGACGAGTGGCACGCACTTGCCAGGCCACCGGCTCCAGCATGGCCAAGGCTGACGCCCCCTCTGATGCCTTTTGTGAGCTGCTCCCTCCGAGAGCTTCTCACACTGATTGCTCCTCTATTTAAAACATGAATTACAGATAATTTTTCTCATTCTGTCTTTGGCCATCACATGTTCCTGCCTCTCTGTGTAGCTGTATTTCCTGGTGATGAGACCTGCCGTGCCCGCAGGCGAGCTGGTTTCTCAGCTCCCCTCCCCTCACCACTGCCAGCCCACTCCATAGTGGCATCACCGCGTCAGCCATAGGAGGGTCACTGCTCCTGTGGTGAGCTTGGACTCCAAAAAGGAGGATGGAGTGTCCTCATCCACCTTCTCCCTCCCAGCTCACCCCTCCTCCAGCTCACAGACCCCCGCCTGGCAGCGGCTGGCAGGGAGGAGCGGCCCAGGGGAGTTTGCTGCGAGGGGGGGGGTCACCACGCTATGGGGGTCCCAGAGCTGAGGCTGCTGCAATGCAGCAAAGCACATGGTGTTTTGCTACAATAGGGAGACTGAGGGCTTTTTTTCTGGCTGTTAGGCTGTCGTGGTTTAACCCCAGCTAGCAACTAAGCACCACGGGACATAGACCAAAAAGACAAAAGCTGTCTGAAGCTGCGAACAGCTGTCCGGGGAGGGGAAGGCTGATCAAAGCCATACGAGTCAAGGGCAAAGAGGCTCTCACTCAACCTGGCTCTACCAAAGTCCACTCCCATCAGAGCAGTCTGCTATGTTAATTTGATAAGATAGCAGAGTTAGATAGTGGGAACTTCATGAAGTTCCTCTATCTGGACTTTACGTGAGCAGGCTGCCATGTACATGGGATGTATAAAGAGGGGTTATAAAGTGAACAGGGATCAAGATTGTGGGGTGGGGGGATACTGGGAGGAGGGAAGTTGGTAGCTGAGTCTCTCAATGACCACGATATTGTTTCATACTCAGCCTAGCAAGAGCCAGCCAGCAAAGAGATGTCATTGCTGTCAGCAGATACACGGGAGGCTTTCAGCCTCGGCATCTCAGCAGGGTGGGGAAGGGGCTGGTGAGGACCTGCTGACTCGAAGCTTTGGCAGCAGCAGGGTTAGGGTGGAGGGTGTTCTCGCTATTTATAACTGATTTAATTGAAGGTTTGAAGGGGTGCGGAACTGGGAGAACAGTTGCTTGCCAGGAATTTGGCTGGAAGGGTGCAATCACAGAGACGTGTTGAGCAGCGCCAGCTCTGATTGCGCTATTCTGCTGAGCCAGGCTGGAGAGGACATGCTGAGCGCCTGCCCCAGCACCTCTCCTGCGCCCCAGGCTGGGTTCCCATCAGACCGGGAAATCACACCAAGGTTGCACAAAATACAGGCACTGCCTGTGGCGAGGGGCCACTTGGTTAACACCAGCATCTCTTGTCCATTAAGTAATGGAGTTAGCACCAGTTCCCAGGAGATGCTGGGTGAAAGTCTGGGAGGACTTTATGGTGCTCTCCAGTGTCCGGCCCAAGACACGCTGCTACGGCGCAGGTCGCCTGAGCCGGGTCGCGGTGCAGGACCATGCAGGGTTTCTGCCTGGGGATACATACTGCATTGCAGTCTTTATTTACAGCATTAATTTCTAGTGTCAAGAAGATACCAGAGTACTGTAAGTTACTTGTTGAGCCTTATGGGTTTTTTCTGTCATGTAAATGGCAGATATTGGAGTTACTGATTCAAGGAAGATTTATTTTCTCTCTCCCAGGAGATAGGCACTTGTAAAGCAGCGGTTTTGGGCCTATTAGTAGAAGATTCCTTCGAGACACTCATCTACTTAATTTTATAAGCTGACTTTTATTTCATCTGCAGCTTCTCCTTGCTGGAGACTAGGTTGATGTTCAGCTCTGGCATCTCCTGACCTGTTCTTTATTATCCTTGCAAATGACTGGAGGAAACGTGTTTGAACTCAGACCTCTATGACTGAAATTGCAAATTTTGAGCCCCAGAGTGGAGGTTGCATGCCTCTGCCAGCGACTGAGAGGTGGCTGAGGCTGAGCATCTAGTCTGGTGGTCCCAGTTTGGAGATCCTTTGGCTCCCGTGGGGGGGGAGGGAGATGGGATGAAACTGGGACACCTCATCTTGGATTGTTTTGTTTGGCTTTTAATTAATTCTCTGAAAAGGCTGAACTCAAAGGAGTCCCCAGGTGTGCTGACTGTACAAAGCCCAAGGCGAAGCCATCTGGGCATGGTGCGATGGGGGACACAGCACAGCTTCGTGCCCATTACGGGTGAACCAAACCAGCCCAGTCCACCCTCCAGTCCGTGAAGGCTCAGCAGAGGGGGAGCACACAAAACCTTTTGGAGATGGACTTGTCTGCAGGAAAAGGAGCTGCCCCTGTGTTTGTGGCTTATAGCAAAGCTCTGCTGAGGTACGATAAATGGGGTTATCACAGAAGTCGGTTAGCTCTAGGGGAGGTGGTTTTGGAAAATGCATTTATTCTGGGAAAATATAACTAGATTGTTTATGGTAAAGTGATATATTGTTTTCAGTTTAAAGATGCTTTGGTGCTCTGCTGACCTGGGAATTATCTGTTTCAACAAGGCTCCCTGTTATTCAAGAGAACTGAGGCACTTCAGTGCCTCTCTGGTGCCATTGTGAATAGGAGAAGAGCCCATTTGTGTCACACCACATTTACATAATGGATAGGATTTTAAATGGGTTTTATAATGGGTGAAAACCATGTGGCAATCTTTGTTTCTCTCCACCCCTAATTGCATTATCTCTGCCACCAGGTCACCTCAGTGTGCTGATGGGAGCAGTCCAGGGGCTCTGTGGTCATTAAGGCTCACGTGAACTTCAGGGTTGTAAAATGCTGTTCATCACAGTGTCCTCTCCCTTCCAAGTCACCCACCCTTACAGCCCTCCTGGCCCCTTCAGATCCACCATTCCTGGATGACCGCTGTGCGGGGGCAAATGGGCCAATTCATCTTTCCTCTGCTCATGCAGAGCCAACCTCTCCTGCCGCTCACTGCCATGGGGCTGGACGGCGGCTCCCACAGCCATGGGAGGCAGTCAAAATGCAATTGCATTGAGCTATGGTTGAAACTTGGGGGTCTGCAATATGGAGACCTCATGGGGAAAGAAAGGGCAGAGAGGCCACAAGGTGGTTGGGGCATGCAGAGCTTCAGGTGGCAGCGGTCCCCCCTGAGCATTGGAGTGACAGGCTGGGGAGGGGCTGGAGCCCACCTTGCTCTTGAACCTCAGATGGACGCTAGCATGTGGGGTTTTGTGGCAGGCTGGATGGTTAGAAAAACCTGGATTTTAATGTGAGGTTTCCACTTGTGTTAAGTTTGGGAGACAGGACCTGCTGCTGTGATTAGAGGAGGTGTTAAGGTGAGGGCCGAGCAGTGGAGGGGGCCAGACCTTGGGCTCTGACCTGGCCAACAAGCCAGGGGAAGGCTTTTGACACACACACACTGACTTTTGGAGATGGTAACTCCAAATAGTTTAATTTCATACCAGTCTTGCAGAGTGAGTCTCTTATACAGACACGGGGAACAAGACAGCCCTGCTGGTAACCCATTTGCTCGAGCATTTTTCCTCTCCAGTTGCCTGAACTCAGGTTCCCATATTTACAAGCACCTATTTACCCTGCTGGCAGCACACGCAGGCTGTAGAGCATCGCCGCTGCTGCCCAGCGTGCAGGCAGACAAGAGCCCCCTTTGTAGGACAACACCTACGCTGGAGTTACTGGCAGTGAAGGCAAACTCAGTTTACAGCTGGTAGTAAACTGCCCCAGTGCCCACTGACCACAGTCAAAAATGTCTCAGTATTAATCTGAATTTGCCTGGTTTTAACAGCCCCCTGATCCTTTGATTTCCTACAGCAGGATGCTGAACCCTTTCCAGTTTGTCAACATCCTCGGAAGAGTGCTGTAAAATTTTAAAGCTCTGCCTAAATCACAGCCCTGCTTCGTGAACTGCAAGCCAAGTCATCCTCCCCATTTTGCAGTGTGCTGAGCTCAAAACCTAATAAATAATGTTAATCATACCATCCATTTCCTCCCCAGGGAGTGACTGGTAAATGGTTATTAATGCAGTGATAAATTCTTATGTTTCTTTTCCAGTCCTGGCAGTAATGTCTGGTTATGTCTCATGATTTTCAGGAAAACCGGTGCCCACATCTGCTCTTTTACTGCACATTTGTTCATTCACATTTTCTCGACTGCTGCAGGTTTCACAACCCCGGTGTTCCCCTGCCGACATCTCTTCCCAGAAGTGTGAAATCGATCTAACGTGAGCCGTGCGGACGCAGCATCGTTTAGCGGCCCAAGTCTGCGGGGGCCGTGCTCTCCCCCTCCACCCCACGCTGTGCTCCTGCTGTGAGTAAAATGGGGATTAAAATATTGATATTATAACTGAGGTGCGAATTTCGCCCTTTGAAACCTCGGGTGCTGATTATGACACAGGATGTCATCCAAATTCCCAAATATCTTTAAAAACTGGAAAACCACCTCTGGGGTGGGGCGGGTGGCTCAGCCCCTCCATCAGCACCCGGTTGTTCGCTGTGCCCGCCAGAATGGCAGCGCTGGGACGGGATGGCAGCGCTGGGACATGATTCAATGCCCGGGCAAGCACATGCTGGTGTCTGTCAAAGATAGGAGCTGCTTTCGTGCTGCCCTGCCTGCGAATCTGCTTTTTGCAGACAGCTGGATATTTATGAGTTTTATATTTACCCCGCAGTTGGGCAATTTTGGTGTTTATCCACCAATTTCTATTGTTTTTCCTTTTGTGGGAGTTTTCCTCCGCGTGCGAGGAAAGGTGTACAGTGAGGAATATGTTTCTAGGCATGTAAGTACCTTCGCGAGAGACATTAAGCATATGGATGACACACTCCCAAATTTGGTTAGAGGCAGATCTGAACACTGAGGCTGAGCTCCTCTCTTCATGTGTAATTTGGCCAAAGAGATAAAGAATTGCAGCAATACTGTAAGCCCAGGCAGTAAGAGTTTTCACAGGAAATTTTCAAATACATGTTAACATATATATTTCATTTCAAGCAGCGATTCTAACATGAAGGCAATCCTGTTATTTCTGTTCTGGAAAGCATCCAGTACCCCATAAGCCTTCTAAAAAAGCAGCGTAGCTCGGTCACGGAGGGAGGGTATTAGTGCATGCAGCGCAAATGTTGCTGACTTCGCGATCAGCAAAAACATAATGAGCTCCTTTTACCATGGGAATGGAACGGTCTTCCCGGAAAGCAGCCGTGCCCGCTCCCCCACCGCCCTCCCCATCTATTGCACTGGAGGAACCCATGATGGAGACGTGTGCGGGACCAGGCTGCCTCCGCTGAGAGGCGAGGAGGCTCAGTAAGTCATGTGGAAATTGCTTCAAACTCACTTTATTACTTTTTTTTGGAAGTTGGCAAAACATACTGCAGGTCCCTGTTTCTCCTTGCCCTGAGGAATGGTTGTTATTGAAATAGCTTGGAGATAACCTAATGCCAGCCATGAACAGGCTGTTCCTTCATAGCTATATGGAGCTGGAAATCCTAAAGATCCAGCTACGTATGGTGGACCCATAAATCCTCTTTCTTGGCCGCTGCCGTCAGTGTGCCTGGGTGCTGCGGGACCCTTGGCGGATGTCAGCAAAATTTCCTCTATCCCAGTTTCGCTCTGATTTCCACCGTGTCTGATCCCCCTCCCTTTCTCCCCGCCACTGTCGCTGTTGCACAGGAGACTCAAATATGGTCACAAACAGACGTGCGAGGCAACACAGCGCGCACTTACAGCAAGGGGGATGACACCGAGGTGTGTTTGCAGACCAACATGAAAACAGCCCCATGCAGCCCCATACCAAATTAAGTGCCACGGGAACACGGACCCTATTTTCATTCTGCCACGTCCTGCAACCTCCTAAGCAAAGCCTGGCATGACCGCCTGGTGCTCTCTCCCGTGCATTGGTGGGTGGTCACCTACCTCCTGGCAGGCTTATTGGCCCACAGCCCTTCTCTTTGGGACTTTGCTCCTGCATAAAAATCCGCTTTGTACAGAGTCGCCATAGCCCAAAATGAGCCGCTTCGCAGGTGGCGTTATATTCCTCCACTTTGGGGCTCAGTACGGCCCAGTGGTCAGTCACTACGGCTGCAAACAGGAGTGAGACGCCAACCAGGATCACGGAGAACGTCAGCCGGACCTTCAGGGGTTTGCTCTCGTCCATCCCGCTCCGGACCGGCGCTCCCGGCGGAGCGTGGCGGGTGATTCACGAGGTCTCCCGAAATCCTGGCGCATCTGAGCGTTTGCAAATGTCAGCCCCGTGCTGCCCGGGGAGAGCGGGGCAGCCGCAGGCAGCCGCTGGGCTGTGTCAGGCGGCGCGGGGGGGGG